GGTATTAAAGAAAATGAACGTGACCGCATTAATTTTCTTTGATACTTAGTTACATCAGGTGTAACAGAGTTACAGTGTTTTGGTCTAAATTCGAGACTTCCTACGAATTCTTTACCTTAGTGTGTCAATTCAGGGGGGTACCTGATGGTGAGGTAGGTCACCTGTTCAACACTGGCAGTGTGTAGCTCCTAGTAATCTAAAAATAGATGCATGGGAGTTGTTACTAATGGAAGCTTAAACCTTTACTGCCTTTCAGGAGTGCCTAGGTCTGTCCTGATTTTTAAAATTAAAAGAAAATAAGAGATTAAGAGTGTTCACCCCAGAATATCTAAGGAAGTCTCCATGGAAACAGTGTACCTAGCAGTAAGAAGTAGTACTTTTGAGAGTAAATGGCTGACTGCTGAGCTATATTTGAAGTATAAATTATTAAATGAATAAAACCTTTATGAAAATAGATGTGCAATTACCTTCTGGGTACAGTACTCTGAAGTGAGTACTGGAATTTGGAATTACTGTGAAGAACGGAAGCTGTGCCTGTGTAGGCAGGATCCCAGGTCTGAACTTCTGCACCCTTTTCCTTTTCAATGGAAGTGGGAAGCCGGTCCTGCAGAGCTCGGGGCCGGGGCTGTGGAGGTGGATGGCCGGGAGAAGACCTTTCCCCCTCGCCCGTGTCCCGAGCCGAGGGTGCGCCTGCGGGAGCGGGGCAGCCCCCGGGGGCAGCGGCAGCAGCAGGCGCAGCCCTGCCTCGGCCCTGCCTGCCAGCGGCTTCTCCTGGGTGCCGGCGGCTGGCTGACCTCACCGGGAAGACAAAGGGCGTGTACAGAGTGTGGAGAGGCCGGGAGCTGGGACAGAAGGGATGCTGGGACCGCAATGCGCGGGGGAAGCCTCAGCTGAAGTTAATGGAAGAACAGCATCTGCTCCGTGCTTGGGGGCGGGAGGAGCAATGCTGGTGGTCTGTCATTGTTGAAGATGTCCCTGCTCGTCACAGGGGAATTGGACTAGAGGGCTTTTAAAGGTCCCTTCCAAACTTTACTGTGTTTGTAATATACTCCTCTGTGGTCTGCATCTGTTTCCCCAGTGTTCTCTCTCTCATGTGTCCCTCAGCTGACAGCTCTTTGTCATTGCAAGCATGAAACAATAATACAGTTTTCTCATTAAGAGTTCAAAAAGATTTTCAGTTAAAATTAATATTTTTCCCTTCTTTAAAAAAAATCAAAATATCCCAACGCCAACCAACATTTTTGAGAATTTATCTCAAAATCATGTTACAATTTTGCAAGACTGCTATAAACTCTTTCAGCTCCACTTAGAATGAATCATTAGATTAATTAAACTTAAGAGTTGTGAGTGAAGTTTTACAGACCTCACTAAGTTTATGGTATCATTGGTAAGTGTGGCATTGTTATGAATACAAATGCTGTGTAGCTTTTAGTTCTAGTTCACCAGCTTTAGTATCCCAACCTAAAATAAGGTTATTGTTTGGGGTGGGGTTTTTGTTTTTCTTTTTGGTTGTGTTTTTTTTCCTTTTCCTTACTATCTATAGAATCATTATAATACCTCTGTTTAACTGAAGAAAAAAGTTGGTGATTTGTTGTGTGTTTTTTGTTTTGTTGTTATTTCTCCCCATGCTGTTGCTGTAACTTCAAGAAGTTCTGTTTCAGTCCTAGGATACCCCCTCTGTTCAAAGCTATATAAAAATCAAAAGGATGGTATCCAGAGAGCATATATTAGATCAGAAATAGAATTTGACACTGGGAGATGATGTGAACATAGCAGTGAACACAGACACTAGTCTGTCTCCCTAATCAATAAAGATTGATTTCCTTCCTTTACTATGGTGTGTATAGAAATAATAGTCAAAACACATATTCTTCTAAATCAATCTTCAAATCTTTTTACTATAAGGCAGCTTAATAGATGTTTGAACTACTTTCAGATACATAAGAATAAATAGCATGAAAGTATACATCATTTCAGAAAATGGAGACAGGTGCTGTAGTCCTTGGGAAGTAGAAACTCCCCTTTGCATCCTGAGAGGGGACCACTTAAAAGGATATGCAATTGAAGCCAAGCAGCTTGTGTTTGACACGATAAGGAATATGAGAAAAGCAAACATGGTCTAAGCAACAAGTTGGAAAGGATTATTTTTGTAGTAGCTCTCAGAAGAGATGAAAACAGGAAAGGTGGCACAGCCATATAAAGTGTTTTCAGTTGTTACAAGATGACAGTCCAAAGGAGAATGTCATTTATGTAGATGAGGAGGAAACTTAGCTGGGTTCCAAAAATAATAGAAAGCTTCATTTTAGCTTCCTGTGATTTAGAGGGATAAATTGAAGATCCTTCTCTGGCCTTGTGCCAGTGTTTCAGGTAATAGAGTGATATTGTTTGTGATTAAGGAAATGAGACAAAAGGAGAATTTGTAGAAGGGGTATTCTTAAGTCATCTTGTGCTAACAGCTAGATATCCATGAGGAGCTATCAGGTGCCTATGTTCAGGCTTTGGCCAAGAAGATACAAGTCTACACAACGCTAATGTTTTCTCTTAAACTTCATATATATGTATATATATTCTCATGCTAAAATGAGAGGAGTTCCTTTTTTCTGCAAAGCTGCTCCATCACAGGCATCTCACAGGGTCACATCCTCCTTCAGGCATCTACCTTCTCCATGGGCTGCAGGTAGATGTCTTCTCCATTGTGGATTCACTCACAGGTCACAGACCGTTCAACTCAAGTTCAGACTGAAGTTCCAGCCTGTCCAGTACAGCAGGACAGGAACAGCAGTCACCACACTCTGGCCAGCTGCCATCCCTTGGAGCCACATCTGAATGGCTGTTAATCAAAGCATTCGCAGGCACAATACACTAAGGTCATAAAGCAAAATACAGTAAGCAAAGGCAAAATGTGCCCACTAAAAAGCAGTAGATTCAAAATACAGTCACAAATGTGAGCCCCATGGCAAGAGACAGGAGCCTGCTCATTACTAGCTAAACAGCACTAGCAAATAAAATTCAGTCTAGTATATCCCAGAATAATTAATTCTTGAAACTTGTTAGCTAAAATACACATTTTAAGACTAAAATCAGGGAAGCTTTGAAGCATAAAACTTGAAATTAAATTCAATAATTTAATGGAGCAAAAATTAATTATTTCCTTCACACTTCCTATGCTAAAGCTATTAACAAAAAATAAAAATCGAAAAACCAACTCTCCAAATCCCTCAACAAACAAAAACCCACCTCACCTTTTGAACAAAACAAGAATCTTTCTCATATGGTAAGATCTAGTTAAAACATGTACATTCAATTTCTTACCAAAAACTTTCCTTTTCCCTTAAACTGTAGAGTTGGAGGATATAGGTTTCTCTGAATTGCTGTTAGTGGAGGACATGAGAAAGGACTGGTTCCATTTGAAGCAAAGGGGTTCTAGAGATTTCCCAACATCATCTATTGCTGTAGGCAAACTTCCATGTGGTTGTGGGGTAAAGGAGAAATCTGTAAGTAGGAATACTTATATGTTTTTCTTAACTTGCAAGAATTTTTCCCTGAATACTAGTACTTTATTTTCATAAGTTTACTCTGTGTGTTGCACATCTTGTATTAGATGTTGAGGATGGCATTTCAACATTTCCAGAATTTGCTCTGCCATCTTCAAATTGCTGAATAAGATCCTATGTTCTCTGGCTCTCATGTTGTTTTCCCTAGTGGTATTTTTCAATATCTTAAAAAAGACTATTTAACTGAATGACAAGAGGTTCACTGCCTAATACCAGCTTCCATACAAGACGTTGCAATTTATTTTTTATTTATTTACTTTAATCTAAACCAAATATTTTTATTTGCACTAGGACTCACTGTTTTCTCCCCTCCCTCCCCCCTTTTTTCATGGGCGCCTAAGGTGGCTTTTGCTGTAGTGTGCTTTATCAAGAAGATTGTAACCCGTCATCTGTGTACACTCTTTATACATCAATGTATAAGAAAAGCACAACAAATTCTGTTAAAGGACATTTCATATCATCTACATTGGAGCTTGCTGACAGAAGGAAGTTGCCAAGCCCAGGAGTATGGATGATTGAGAAATACTAGTCCTGTCCCCTTCTTATGAGCTGTCATTCAGTAGACTGGATAATGACATTGTTTTATTGCTTTGCTCAGTAGTGGTTGATCTCTGTGCAAATTTTAATAACTTATGTTTCGGTTTGTTACCTGTATTTAAATGAAAGTGTGGAATAATCCACACTTAGAACTGGCTTTGCAGTCTTGTGTTGAAATTGCTGACACGGATTAAAGATTTCTTTTAAATTGAAAGCCTTATGTTTTACAGTGCTGAATGACCACTTGCAGCTTCGAAGCACACTAAGAAAAATTTCTGGCTGTCAGGGGTAAGATGTGATATTTAAAATTTGTGCGTGGAGAAAATTCTTGATTTTGGCATTAAGGAAGCTGTTCTTAAAGATAACCTGATGCCTCCCAGATGCTTCCCTGGCTGCTCTAACAGCTTGTAGACAGGGCAGGAGTTTGTAAATTGGTCTCGTGTCACGTTTGCCTCAGGAAACTGAAACTTCCGAAGATGCCCTGAAGACTGCCGAATGCTGGAAACTTTTGTCATAAAAACAAAAGTTTGGCATTTCAAGCCAAACTGAACGGCGTACCTTACTGACAGTGTTAAATTTGTTGCTAGGAGTTCCCCAAAGCGCTATAGTTTTTTTTTTCGTGTTTTTGGGTGGAAATTGCTCCCCTACCATGCTAGCGCTTCCTTTGCCTTTCGTTTTCCCCTCCGCAGCCGCACTCGCCGCACCCCGGGTGTCCGTGGTAGGGCGGGGGTGTCTCCTCTCGTCCTCAGCCCCGACACGGGCACCGGGCAGCGCCCTCCCGCAGCCGCCCTGGGCGTGGGGCCCCTCCTCGGGCGGGGGCCGGGCCGGGCCGGGGGAGGGTCCCGGCGGGGCGGCGGGCGGCGCCTCCCCCGCGGCGGCTCTCGGGGCGCCTCGGCCGCGTCCCTGCGGCAGCTGGCGGCGGTCGCGGGCCATGGGGGCCAAGAGCCTCTGCCTCGGCGTCCTGACCGTCGCCGTCCTGCTCCTGGCCGCCGCCTCGCAGGGTGCGGAGCCGCCGCCGAGCTGCGAGGCGGTCCGGAAAGTTTTCCAGCTGCGGCGGCTCGGCCCGCTTGGCGGCGTCCCGGAGTTCCCGCGGGCAGGTAAGGCAGACCTGGATGGGGCAGGAGGCACCGGGAACGGCGCGGCCGCCGCGTTTGAATTCGGAGCCGCCGGCGGCGATGGGTGGGTGGTGCTGGTGGCCGGTCTGGGCACCGCGGGCACATCGGGTCCCGTGCTTTGTAGCGACATCGCGGCTGGCCCCTTAAAGAGAGAAAACGCTCTTCCCGGGCTGTGGGCAGTGGGGCACCCCGACACCTGCCTAAAACCCCCCTGTGCCCACCCACTTCCCCTCCGTACCGCGCAGAGCAGAGCGAGCCGCCTTCAGCTGGGGTCATCCTGCTTGCAGCCGTCTGTGGGCAGGCACCGTACAGCCCTGGGGGCTGGGGACAGCCACCGAACCGCGGCTGGGGCTGCTGGAGCCGCTCTGCTGTGCAATGACAGTGACTGACACGGCTGCCGCTGCTCGGGCTGCGCGTTTTCCGTGCGGATATCTGCCTGTCACTGGAACGTAATGGAATAAAATTCTCGGGAAAGTAGAGTCTTCATGGCAATTTGAGTATATCTAGCATTTGTATTAGCAGTTAATTTTTTTAAAAAGTAGATGCTGAATGACGTTGCAAAGCACATATACAGTAAGGTGTGTGGTTTTAGGTTTGAGGTTTTGGTTCCAGCTTTGTGAGAACCTCAGTTGAACTCAGAGGATTAAAACGCAAATATTTTAGTGATCAGCGGTATAGGATATAAAACCAACTTTTTTTTTACACATCTTTAAAGTATGTTCATGTTTGGCTGACAGGTTAACTAGTAAATGTGAGTCAGTGCTTTTTAGACAGAGAATGCAACAAAAGTTGAGTTAATGTCCCCCTCACTTTAAAATATCAATGACTAACCTCATTGGGTTTTTTAAGATAATTTGTGTGGTTTTTATTAACTCTGCAAGTTGAGATAAGGCATACTAAGTTTATTTTAAAGGAATCCCTCAAAAATAGAGCTTTTAATAACTCTAGCTTTAAATGTGACAGATAATGCTTGACACAGTCAATATTGCATTGTGTAGTTTATAAATTGGAGTACTATATTAATTAACAGTACATTTATCAACATGCATGGTTGTCTTCTTGCATAGTCCTAACCTAAAGATTTTATAATTGTCTTTGATAAAAAGAAAATAAACACTTCAGTTGGAAAGCCTGATGAGACAGGTACTGTTCAAATGAAGATGTCTGGAAAGTGAAATCTGAGTTACAGTCCTGTCAGCGATTTAATTTTTCTGTGCTGATTATTTGTGTGGATAATCTCAGTATGAATGATAGGGTATCACTTTATCTATGTTCTTCTCATTCCATAGCCTAGTGTAAATTTTATGCTTTCTCTGTTATTGCTTATTTTGATTACTATACTTTGTTTGTGTACTAGGGATAGGGAGGAAATAATGTTGACTCAAGAGAAAAGAACTATAGTGCTTTATATAGGTTTCTTCTGGTCTGCTTCTCTGATTTCCTCCTTTCCCCTATCATATTTTTTATACTACCACTCACTTTCTTCTTTTGATTTTGACTTTTCTGCATTTCCCGCTCATAGTAAAAACCATGTTTGAATTGTACGAATCTAAAAGAATTCCTTTCTCTGCTGCTGCCCTTGCAAACAGTGAGCAGCAGGAGGTGTGGTACAGCTGTACGGTCAGCAGCCTTTCACTCTTTGAAGGAATTACATTGCTGTGGGCTGCCAGAGTTCTTGTTCTAAGAACTCTGTTCAGCTATCATGAAACAAATAATTGCAAACAGTAAAATCTGTCCAGAAGTGCAATGACAAGAAAATGGGGATTAAATGAGTATTTTAGAAGGTTTAGGTGTGATTAAAGGTATTACTAAGCTCAAAGCGTAATGTGAAGAGAAATGTCAGTTTTTGCTCCTGATCTTCTATATTAAGCCTTCTTTTGAAGCAAGATGTAAAAATACTTTAAAACCTTTTCTGATGACACTAAGAAATGTGTTTGTGTGTAAGATGCACACATGTGCCCATACAACGCACACATTTCTTGTAGGTGTCCCCTTACGAAAACAGGTGTCCAAGCTGCCTTTGCAAGGTTTCATTTTGGTGCTGAAATGTGGGCATCTAGAAGCATTTTAATTATCTTAGGGTTTCCATAATGTTCCCAGTGGTGCTTACAGATGCAGTAACTCTGGGAAACTTACATCTTTCTGGTAGTGGAAACTTACATCTTTCTAGAAGGGCAGTGGGTGGGATACCTTTGGCATCTCAGGTGCTCCTTGTGGGCAGCCACCATGGACAGCCAGTGCAGCTTGTGGCATCCTGGAGCTACTCCATTATCAAATGTTGGTGTTGTCTTCAGAGTAAGCTGCATAAATGCCTGTACTGCATTGTCTCTGTGTCTTTATTTTAGTGGTGCTGTAGACATAACTTAAGAACACTTTCATTTAAATGTCTTAAGCTGAGTCTTTGGGGTAGGGCATGATCACCAGCTGGTTGACATATGGTTTTGTATGCAATGGAAGTCAATAAAATTACAGGGTTTATATTTGTCTTGTTTTCGTTGAATGTATAAAAAAAGGCTGTACCATTCCCATTCTTTCCTCTTCTCAGTAGGAATAAAACCAGCAGCCTTATATCAGTAAATAATGTAAATTCTAGTTCTGGAGATTGTCATGTGTTTGTATTTTGAATATATGTTAACTCAAAAACCTATACATTATTTTATATAATTATTTTTGCAGCTGTTGTATAGAGGTTGTGTATCCTTAAGGGAGAAAAAAAAATACCTCTGTCATCCTATGCAGAAATGACATGTATATGTACATAAAAGTGATCTTGAAGGATGTGGAAACTACAAATTTGAGTTCATGTTATCATCCACATAGGACAGGATATAGTGTTGAAAATGGCAACTAATAATCAAGATATATATTTTTTTTACCACTCTCACAATACTTATTGCTACCCCTGGAAATCAAGACATTTGACTAACTGTTCGTGGTCTTTTGTACCTGTGTTTTGGGAACTATAATACAAACTTATGCTCAGCCCCATCACATGCTGTATTGGAACATTAATTGCCTTCATGCTAATTTCAAGTGTTAGTTGCAAAAATACTTTGTTTTTTTCCTGTCTGGTTCTGTGCTACAAGAACATTTTTGATGGGACTGTACAGAATAACCTCAGTAATTAAAAATCCTGAAAGACACTTTTTTGCTGTATGAAGAATTAAATCAATATAAAAAGTACTTAAAGGTTAGGTCTGGAGTTTTTTATTTTGTTTTTGTGATATGTATGGATATTGGATTACAATATGTCATATTGTAATCCAATATGACTTGGATTATTAAAAAAAAAGAAATTGTCTGCAAAATACTTTTTAGCATATTTTTATTTCCTATGTTCAAGATATTGTATATCCTTTCTGGTATTGTAACCCAAGATTTCTTGAAGATTTCCACTCTTTTACCCTATATGCTAGTAAATCTAGAGCTTTTAGCTAATTTCAGCAGCTCTTTTTTCCCCAGACAGATTAAATGGGAGCTCTGAGCTCTTCTTGTTATCTTGGTTGCAAATAATATTTATTTTTTGGTTTCTTTCTCTCAGAATACCTAGAACAGAGAAGTTGTGTATCCCCAATCCCTGGAAGTGGTCAAGGCCAGGCATGATAGGGCTTTGAAAAACCTTGTCTAATGAAATATGTCCCTGCCCATGGTGGAGGGTTGAAACTAGATATTCTGTAAGGGCCTTCCAACCCAGACCATTCTATGGTCCGATTTTAGCAACAGCAGAATAGGATGGCTGGTGAACATTCCACTCTTGCCTTCCTAACAGAGAGACTCCTGTAGGTATGTCAGTGAAAAAAAAAAAAATCAGGCTTCTGTTTGCACCAAAAAGCTGAATTTTGTGGCTTATTGAAAAATATTACATTTACTGTCACTGTAGAATCAAACAATTCCTAATGAAGTGGGGGGAAAAAAGTGCTGGAGATATTTTTTCTCAGCAGTTTGGTTTTGGTTGGTTTCTGTTTGTTTGCTTTTTTGGTTTTGAGCTGGTTTATTTTTTTCAGGGATCAATCTAGGCTTCTTTTCAGCAAACACTGGGAGATCATGTGTGCAATTATGAGAACAAGAAACATAAAAGAGAGTGAAGAATGTGATTATTTAAAATTTTACTGTAAAGGCTTTCTGGTAGAGAACCATTATGAATATGAAGTTGAATAAATGAGAAAAACCATGCTGGAAAGATGAGATAGTGTCAGAAAAAGTTTTTCTGTGGTACTATTGTTAATTCAAGTTAAAATATTCTTTCTAATTCCCCTTAAAGTAACAATAGAAGTCAGTTTAAAATCCAGCTGGTTACTTTAATGCAATTCCATGATCATATTTGAATTTTAATTTGGGTTTCTAGTATAATTTACATTCCAGTAATTTGGATTTTGGTTCTGCCTCAAGTCAAATTAAATTTTTTGGCTTTTGTTGTATGGAGGCAGGGACACTTCTAATTACTGTATTTGTTTAACAGACATTCAGAGCTCTGGAATATGGTTTAGTCAGAGACAGAAAGTGAATTGCTCTGTCAAATCAGTTAAATGATGTTCATTATATCACATCTGTTTTTGTAAGGACTGTTGCCAACAGCATAATCTTGTGTGTGTGTGAACATTTCACTTCTGGATCCACAAAATGATCACTGTGAAAAGAAATTTGACAATATTTTGAGATTAAAATCAGCAAGAAAGTGGGCTCAGCTCTATAGCAATTCTCCTATCTCGGTCTCCTATCTTTCAGCTTCTCTAGGAGGTCACCAGTGCTCAGTAGTCTTGTCGGACTGGGTTGGCCTGTAAGGTGGTGCAGCTCAAGGACTGCCTGCTGACTCTCACACCGAGTGGAGCAGACCAGGGTTATGTCTGCACTGTTTAAGGCTGGTGTCCTGTGGAAGGAATGGACTTTTGTAATGCCAAGTCACTGCGGCATTCAAGCAGTCTCAAAAATAGGAGGGCTTTTGGACAGGATGACATGTTTTGTTCTGTGAACTGTAGCGTGGGTGTATAAAGGGATGGTGGTTTCACCTTGCTGGAGTGCTGCTTAGTAGGCAGGAAGATGAGCTTGGAGTGTGTAAGGAAGGAGCCAAACTTGTACTGCAGTGTTGTCTGGAGTGCCCTTTGAAAGCAGTATATAGAATTCACCATCTCTTGAAGTGCAGGTGAGAGAAATACTGACTCCAGCTGAAGAGAGCCACAGAAAAAAGTGAGATGATGGTTCAACGGTATCGACAGTCAGGGCCAGGTGCTCGAGGCTGATCCCCATCTCTTTTACTGAGCCAAGCTGAAGTACTTTACAACAATCACAGTGATAGCAAGTAATGCTAAATCTGGAGTGGTGCTTGTAACAAAAATAAGTTAATAAATATTGAAGGATAAGCATGAGAAGGACTTAGGTCTGATACAGGCTCCAAATCCATTTTGAAATAAACCACTGATTTGGCAATTGCATCCAAGCCATATGGCATTTCAGTGCTGGCTTTTAAAAGACTGTTTGTCATGACAATTCTAATGTTTTGGGATTTTTCAGACCCTGGATTTGATCTCTTAGAAGTCTAAATAGACAGGCAGAAATTTACCACAGATCTGGCATTTGCTCTTCCTGGCAGTTAATGGCCTCATCCTGTCAGCATTTGTTTATCGCAAGGTACTGAAAATACAGGTTTGTACAGCTGAGACCATGATTAAAAGTTTGAAATCAGTTCCAGGCAGATAAACCTGCAGCTTAGAACAATTATGTTTTTCTTCCCAAACTGTCTTTCCTAAACTCCAATTATTTTCAGTTCTAAAATCTTTCTTATACCATAACTGTTTACTTCAATATATTTTTATTACAGGCTAAGGTATTTCACTTCCAGTTGTCTTGTGATCCTGTTTCAAGCTGGATCACAGTGTAGAGTCATCAGAATTTGGTACTGAAAAGAGCCAATATGCCCTTTTGGAGTAGAAAGTGTTTTCTCCCTTTATTTCAAAATTGGTTATTGATAAAACAGTTCTTGTGGAAGATGGAAAGTTTTTTAGATGTGAAAACTCAGAAAATAATTGGATGGGTTTTTTAATACTGCTTGTACTGAAATGGAAGGACCTGTTTCACGGTCTGGCTTATGTGTCTTCTGAAACATTATCTCTAAGCTGTTCCTTGTTCTGTAGATCTCTTAAAAAAAAACTGGTAAACTGCTCTGTGGTTTTGAGCAACAATTCAATTTTTAGTCAGTTGGGTTCTTTGTATATTGTATTTGGTTACTTTTTCATGGCCAGTGAAAGCAGCTGTGTTTAATGAGCTGGAACAAAAGTAGATCAATAAAATGTACTTTATATGTACATGATTAACAGTCTTAAAACTATAAAACAAAATTCACTTAGGATTGGGAATGAGATCCATGTTCAAAAGATGCTGCTTTAAAAATACTTTTGATAAAATCAAGGAAATAAAATAATACTGACCTTTCATCTGAAACCATATGCAAATATACATTATTATTTTAGGATTTGGCTGAAAGTGTATCTTCTTGAAGCTATATTCAAGTCCATACAACCTAGATAAAGTTTCAAATTAATTTCTGTAGCAGCGATACCTATATCTCTAGATATCTATACTTCTGCTTTACAAGTGTCAAAGGTTTGAAAGCTAAGCAGTGCCTAACAATTGTTTAAAATACTAAGAAGAGTTTGGGTAATAAACCTAATTTTAAGTTATTTTATTTTAATATTAGACAAATATTATTAATGCCTGTGTACACAGGGGACTGCATGTGAGCAGTTACCCTATATTATTTGTTAATAATGAAAATGGAGATGTTTAAAGGTCATGCAGATGAAAATAAGTTTCTCACTATGTTTCCACAAAATCTTGTCATATCTGTCAGTGCAATAACAATGTATTTGAGAACAAAATTTGGATTGAACTGTTAAGTTTTTTATTAATATAATTTAAATTCTCATATTTGTTCTTTCATGATATGTTTGTTCTTTGTATTAGAAAGCATTGCTTAGATACAGTATTAGAAAAAGATTTTGAACACCACATGATAACAAGGAAGGTGAATAATGTTTTTTATGCTTGATTATGCTCCAGTTGTAAAGTTATAAAAGTATTGAGTTTTCCCTCTGGGATTTCAGTGTGCCCAAAATTAAAAAAAAAATCCTCCTTTGTAGAAGTGTCTCCCAGCCTATTAGGGAAGTAGGGTGTCAGGGAGTCATGGGAATGTTTGGCATTAGGGAAAGACACAGTTAGGGAGATTAGACTGGAAGTTAGGACTGCTCCATATAGAAGTCAATGTAAGTATGTTCATTATGCATCTGTCAGGAATCGGCTCTCCACTGGAGTGTTTGTAATGTTTGGAAGTAGTTAGCTTTGTCTAGTCCAAGATTTACAGAAGGATAGGAGTGGCAGCCATGGGCTGCTCCAGCATTTCAGTATTCTAGAGGATCATAGAATCACAGAATTGTTTGTGTTGGAAGGGACCTCTAAAGGTCATCTAGTCTGCAATGAGTGGGGACATCTTCAACTAGATCAGGTTGCCCAGAGCCCCATCTAAGCAGTTCTTGAGTGTTTCCAGGAGTGGGACATCTGCCACCTGTATCGTGATGTACAGTGCATATTCAACATACTTGACCAACATTAGTTAGCAATATTCACAGCTGGAACAAGATTACATTGTCAGGGAAGTTATATTATGTGACTTTAATTAACTGTAATGAGTGTACTCTTCCCACAGAATTTTAATCAGTATCCCCTTCTGTATAACAAGACCAAATGGTTTAAAGCTTTGAATATTTCTTCTGTGTGTCAATACCCATGTAAAAAAATAAAAAATCTCTTTGGTATTTGTGTTTTGCATACTTTTGTTTTATATTAATCAGTGGAATTGCCTTTTCCTTAGGTGTTGATCTCCAGGTTTGTACTTCTGAAAATTCAACATGCTGTACAAAAAAGATGGAAGAAAGGTATCAGATTGCAGCAAAGCAAGATATACAGCAAGCGCTTCAAACATCAAGTGCTACATTAAAATTTTTAATATCTCATAATGCAGCTGCTTTTCAAGGTAAAACTTTCTGCTTGTTGTTTCCCAACTTGTTCATACTTTTATTGATTTTCATCTTTGATTATTTATGATGTAATAAAAGTTATCTGTTAATTTTTAGCTTCTCCCTATGCTTTTATGCTTTCAAATAAGTAGTACTAAATCATGCATGTGATTAGAAACTGCTTTGCTTTTGTAATTTGTGGATTTTAAAAAATTATATTTGATAAAAAGTAAGAAAACATTCTTGTAAGATGCTTTGAATTTAATTGTAAACCTGTAACTTCACATTCTTTTTAACTTCCTTAACTTGGGGCATACTAAAATGCCCAAGTTTATTAATGCCTGGAGTGCTACAAAAGAGAGATTTTTTTTTTTTTATACCACTGTTTCCACCCACTATATTCTTTGTCTTTTTCTAGTAGACATTCTTGGGTAGTTTGATTTTGAGATTTTGAGATTCTTTTTTCAGATCTAGTTTTTCAGACTCTTGAGTTTCTAAATATGATTTAAAAAATAATTGCATGTTGAACCATAGTTGTTTTCATAAATGACAGGATGTTACCTGATAAGTAATAGGTTTTTGGACTGGTGGTGGGGGTTTCCTTTTTGCTTCGTGTACTGTTAGTTTCTTTTTGATTTAATTAGCCAGAAGTTAATGCAGAAATTGGTTAAGGAGCTGAGAAGATGTGAAAATAGAGATATGAGGTTGTATGTGATGGAAGGAGATACAGAGTTTATATGTGTTGAGGACAAAGCCCTAAAGTCTTGTCGTTCATCTGTTAGTATGTACTTACTAACCTTTATGGCCACTTCATTGGAAAGGATAACATGGTAACTTCATACAGGCTTGGGAAGTTGTCCTTCTGGCAATTCTTTTGTTTTTAACCTGTGATGCTGAAATAATTAGCAGAATGGGGTCCAAAAATGCAAAGTTGACTTTGGAGTCCTAAAGCCTCCTCTTTTTTTTTTTTTTTTTTTTTTTTTTTTTTTTTTTTTTTTTTTAAATTTAGGCTGTCTAATGCTAAAAACAAGCTGGAGTTGCTCGTTGCTCTCCACCTTTTGGGACTTCTGCCATTTAGCCTGTCTAACACAGCTGTCAAAAGGTGCAACAATCAGGGAATCATTGATATAACGTACAGAGGAATCTTTCCATATCTTTTCTGCCTTCGTTCTTCCTTTCAAATTCTGTGTATTATCTTTTTCTTGCTACCATAAAGAGTTAGCCTAGAGTTTGGTACATATTATAATATGTTCAATTTGTTCTGCTGTCTTTAGTCCATCATTTGCATTTAAAAAAATACTTTTCAAAGCATATACTTAAAAGTGAAATCTATTTTATATATCTTATACACTTCACATATTTTTGAAGTACATGCTTTAGTCTATAGTAGTTTTGTCTTTCTTTTTATGTAAAGAAGTATAACAGAGAGAATGTTGCATGGATTCTAGTATTATTTGGATTTAAAACCTTGTTTAACTTTGAAGTAATTCTTTGTGAAAAAGCATGCTATTGAATATACTGCTAATGTTTGAAGAATTGCAACCATTGCTAACTAAAATTGAAACTAAATGATTTCAGATTCAGAAACAATAGTAAGATGCTGCTGATGTTTTTTCAGCTTGGAATTCTAGGTGCATAGTAAGACATTCTATCTGATCTGAATTCAGTTTTGACCCTGCTTTGAGGAGGACTTTGGAAACTTTGGACACTTATTAAGGTCCTTTCAATCTGAATTACAGTATGACAGGGTGCCTATCCCACCACCAAATGTTTAGGCATGCCTTTTACATTTAGACAAGGCTGGGCTGGGCAGATAGGAATGTGATTATCTCTTCTGCTACTTTGGCAATTGGACAGTCGTCTCAGGAGTCACACAGAAAGCTTGAAGGGGATTGTTCGGGTGTGTAGAGAACAGAGCAGATGTCATGGATTTTGTCACTGCTGTCACCTAACTCTTCTCAAAGTATGTTGAGGTTGGCATTAAAGGGGTGGACCAGATCCCAACAGAACAAATAGCTAATTTTTTATCAGTTTCTTATATATTCAGTAGAGAGAAGTAGGCAGTTAAAATAAATTATCTGTATCTGACTCTGGAGGTCTTCAGAGGTGTGTTTCCATTTAGCATTAAATACAGTCTAGAGATCCTGAATCTTCAGGGTGTCTAACTACCAGGGACTTTATGGTGGCTGTCATGGTGAAATGAGGCAGCTGTCTGCCTATCTGTCTATTAACTTGTCACATGTGTGCATGTGTCTTTATGTAAGAGTAAATTAATCCGTATATATTGATATATCTTTGTCACCTTCTAATGTTTGTGAAAATTCCATGGTTCTGTATTGTGGTAAGTGCTGCCTCTTGACAGTAACTATTGGCAATTTTCAAATGATTCAAAAATTCCATGCCTCTTAGGACATGTCAAGCTACATGGTGCAAATTGCACCAATTGTGTACTGGGTACTACTGAGTACTGTTAGTTTTTTCCTTATGTTTCGGGGTGTTTCAGAATGTGTGTTTTCTTTTTTGTGGTGAATCTTCTATTTCTTTTTTAATAGCTTTGAGGAATGGTAAGGGAACAGAAGGATGGGTGGCAATGAAGTTAAATAAGATATTAATCCAGTAAGTGGGAGATATATTATGGAGAGCAATATATCATTTTTCCCTTGGGAAAGATGATTAGAGAACTTAAGCTGTATGATAATTTTGTTTCAAGACAATAATTTTGATAGGATAACATTATTGCACATTTCTGAATTTTAGTATTTCTTATCTTAATATTTGAGGAAGAGATTGTTGCTGCTGTACAAGGATTGCTATAGCATCTCCCTTCTGTTAACCATAAACCCAAATCCTTTTTAAACCTTACATTTGCATGACATAGACATATCTCAAGATGTACACACTCATTTTGTACAGTTCTTAGATGTTACTCAAAGTTCACACTGACCTTTGTCTATACCTGTACTCAAAAGATTAACAAGTGCCACCAGGGTTACAGTGTAGTCACATTGCAGTGCTGGTTTTTGTGTAGAGAAAAAAAGAAATCCCTACAATTTCTGAAATTTGGAGAGGAATTGAATAGGCATTTAAGAATCTGGTGAACTACAGTAGGAGGGAGTGCTGTGCAACAGAATAGCAGATCTTGTGTCACTTCACTATTTTTCCACAAGAGAGCTCATAACCCTTTTAAAAGTGGCCCTGTATGACATAGAGCAAGATAACAGCTTGTCTGGTTGAAAGGGAAGTTTAGAGATAAGAATTTAGTTGTGGAGTCTAAAGCAAATGGACTTCTCTTTGTGCTACTATATTTGGCACCTCTAGTAGTGTGGCATAGTTTTCATAAATATGGAAGCATCAATCATTTCTGAATGAGGCTGCCTGTCACTGAAGCAGAGGACTTGGCAAATGTGTGTCTGTATGCAGTAGGTAATAAACTGCACTCTTCAATAGAGCATTACCTGACTCTTCATACTGTGTAGGAAAAATTTAATGCCTTTGCCATGTAAGTTCTGAAGTCTGTTGACTCAGGCTTTCTTGATGCAGTTTCATGCTTTTCTATGAAATTATTGCTACACAGTAGATCAATTTCCACTTTATCTTAGAGCATAATTAAATGAAGTAAAATTGTTGCATCATATCGTTTGAGATCACAGTACAATTATTACATTTAAATAGGAAAAAGTTTTAGTCAGTAGCTAAAGTAAATTGTGTGAACTAGAAAATGGGTTGAAATCTTCTGAGCTGCTTTCTCTGGTAATCTATAAGAAATAATGGAATTTCTGTTCATCTTTGTGAAACTAAATGTGCCCTGGCACTAATTCAATTGCTTTCCACTTGTGAAATTTTCTGAAGAATGATTTGAAGATCAGAAAACTTCCAGCTAGAGCTTCTATATCTCTCATGGTTTCAAATGATATGTTGCCTGTCAGATCATTTGCAATACAAACTGCTTTGATGTTCTAACATTTTCTTCTTTCATATCTCCATAATCCTTTATATTTTAAGTGTGATATAAATAAGCCTAAATCTAAATACTGGTGAATCCCACTTCTTTTAATTAAATGAAGTTTAGGGATTCTATTAAAAGGCAAAAATGTGGACAGGTTGAGAGATTCCATTTGTCACTCTGTTATATTGAGGGATGAGAGTCTCAAAAATATCTGTGGTTCACCAGAGTTATGTTCCTCTTTCTCGATTGCTCTGCAGCCCTTCCCACAGCTATGATCATGCTTCCCTCTGGACTGAAAAAGTAGGGAATTTTAATAGCACAGAAGAATCATTGTACCCACGGATTGGTCTAAGGAACAAAGCTGTTATACAGCCTTTATTCTTCAGGAACCATCTATTTATATGGTATTTTGAGTCCTTTATAATAGAGAAGCAGGATAAACATTATGCTAATATAACTTACATTTGGACCCAGTGTGTCTGTATATACATAAAACAGAGCACTAAAGGACTGCTATAAGTGCAGAAATGTAGAGATTTAGATTAATACCTAAAATTTCATTATTAATCCTGAGTTTTATTTCTGTATTGCAAGCAAGTCTTTTATCATTCCAAAGGAGTTTGGTTCTACTCTATCTCATTCTTATCTTCTCGCCTATATGTGGGCTGTCCCTGTAGGCACTCCTGGAGTATAAGTATGTATCTATAAATGCACAGGGATTTAATGGGCTTCTGTAACAGTTTTCACCACATCAATCTTTTCTCTAAATGTTCTTTTCAAGTGTGCACTTGTGCTCCTGTATTCTAGTCTCAGCCTGTTCATTTACCATCAGTTATTTCTCCTAGTTACAGTAGTGTCTGAGTTACAGTTAAGCTGATGTCAGTGCACTATTCAGTCTCATACTCGGTGAGTACTAAGATTTCTTTCATATTTTTGTTAATACCCAGCTAACTACGGTTTTGGTTTATGTTTCTGTAACACGGTGATTGGTACACACATATGCTAATTTAGATTTATTTTATGCTTTATGTAGTTCTTATGCATTTGAAAAAGGAAGTGAAGTACAGATTT